ATGGGATCAGGGAATTCTTCTGCTTGTTCCATAATGGTGGATATGGAATAAGGCAGGTGTTGGGTGTGTGTGGTAAGAGTAAAGGCAGGTAAGAGTAGAGGTGGAGTGGTGAAGCAGAGGTTGTCACTTGGAGACTTGGTCTTCTGTTAGGGCAACACAGGCTGACTAAGTCTGCTCACCTAAGAGTGCCAAGAGTCTAAGCAGGCAACAAGGAAGTGGAGTAGACCTGATGACTAAGACCTATCTACAGTATAGGTATCTGTGGATGATCCTAAGAGACCAAGTCTGAAGAGACAGTCCCAGGCAGAGTAGGCCTTATATTTATACCTCTGTGGTGGAACCTGCTAGAACATCTTGCTTACTCAGCCTAGTCAGGTGATCAGGTCATATGACCAAGGATGAGGTCATATGAGGTCATGCACAGCCATGCACAGCAGGTCACCTGACCATCCAATCCTTCCAGCAGGTTCCAGCACATGCCAAGGTATACCAGCTACTTCCATGTCATAAAGGCTTAGTCATGTCTCTTGACCAAGCAATGAGCTGGTGCCCTGACACACAGGTGAGCATGTGCTGGTGTCTTCAACCACAAGTTCATGCCTTCCAGGATATGCAATGTGCAGGACCATTGCCAAGGCCATGCAGGAGTGCAGCAGCACCATCTGCTTGGCCCTGGAGAAGTACAACAAAGCAGCCCTTGTGCTTGACCCACCATGACCAACTTTGACATTCCAGGAGGTGATTGACATGTCCTTCCTCTCGGACTTTGCCTTGCTCTGCTACTCCCAGGACAATATCTGCAAGCATCAATGGTCTGATCCTCTTGTTTGTGAGACCATGCTGAATTGGATGCTAATCTGCTGTGCCAAGGAGGAGATCAAGTGGTTGAACATGGAGGTGTGGTGTTTGTGGATGGCTCTTCATGCCAAACCACAAGAACTTCTGGCCTGGACAAAGGCCACTGAAATGGCCAGGCATCACCCTCTTGCAAGTGAGATGAGCTTGCATCTAGAGTGATACCTCCATGTGAATCAACATCTTCACAAGCACCTGTTCATCCTCTTCAACTTGGATGGCTTTTCAGGGGATTGCTCTGTGGGCATCCATGCTGGCATGTATGAGCCCCAGAACATGTTCAAGGCCCCAGCTTATGAAGATGTTGCATTTCCAAAAGCAGAAAGCAATGAAGATGATTAGGCAGACCTTGCAGATGCAGATGATCTTGATTCAGGGGAGATAGATGATGATGTCTTGAACAAGTTTGATTGCCTTAATGAAGCTTCCTTGTGCATGTCTATCCCAAACATGTAGATGTTCTAGGTCTTGTAAATTATGCCACCATGGCAATCAATCTTCTATGTACTCCTACTCCTACTTATTGTTAATTAGCTTCCCCCCATGCTTGCACATGCCACCTAAAAGAAACAACTGCTGGGCCCTCAAAAGTGAACAGGAAAATGCCATGGTACTTGCTTCATCTTAAAATATATCTGCTTGGACCATGATGTTCTTCCCATAGTTCTGGAACATGTCCATGCACTTCGACCTTGTATCTCAATTTCAAGCAGAAAAAGGGAGGTTACAAAGAAGACACATGGAACATGCAGATGTCCATGTCCAAACATGGTAACTTTATACCAACATAATACTGATCCTTGTGCAAGAATGACAAACATGTCCATGTCCATGTACTTTGACCTTTGTATTGCAATTTCAAGCATAAAAATGGAGGTCACAAAGAAAACACATGGAAAGACACATGGAACATGCAGATGTCCATGTCCAAACATGGTAACTCTATACCAACATGCTCCTGATCCTTGTGCAAGAATGACAAATATGTCCTTGCAAAGCCAAGAATCAAGAAAATAGTACAAAATCAAGTTATAAATACATTAATTTATTAAATAAACCAGGTACATTCCCAAGATTATTATCTTGAGCTTGCACAGTAATAATTTTTGCACTTCATCATCAGAATCTCGGACTTGTGGATGACTTCATACAACAATTTGGTTCTGCTGCCCTGTTTATCACCTCACCCTGTGTTGTGCATCCTCTTGATCATCTACCTCCACCATCTCCTCAAACAACTCATCCATCATCTACCCCTTTCCTTATCAACAAGAACAAAAACAAGGCCAAGACCTCCTCAACATGGTTGGACATGCAAGGCCCTTGCTGGACTACTTGGATGCCAACAAGCACACCACCTTCCTTGGCATGTGCATGATCAATGACATGGAAGAGACTGGTGCCCCCAACCCGGTGCATGCAGAGATGGTGGATGCGGATCTGGAAGAGGAGTTTCCTACTGGTATGCTTGTTTTTGCTCTCTTGTGCAAGCTCTTGCTGATTGTCTTGCAGATGCTTCCTACCCCATTGTCAGCTTCAACTTCCAGTGCTGGTTCACAGACAAGAACATCAGCAGGAAGAACTTGCCCAGAGGCCCAACACAGCCTGTCAAGCACAAGTTCAATTCTGATGGTCCTGCCAATTGTACCAAGGCCAAGACCGAGGCTCCTGACTGGACCAACATCTTGAACAATGATCTTGATCTTCAAGGTTATGACATGCATCCCTACATGTCCTTGATTCCTGGCAAAGTTTGCCATGATGTCTACTTCAAGTACTTCATGCCCAAGCTCTTTAAACTTGTATGTCCCTCTTGTTCTTGCTCTTGTTCTTGCTGATCATCTTGTAGTTCACTATCATTGACCATTGCTGCAGGGATGTTACCTTTGAGTTTTGTTTGAGTTGCTTGGACAATGGGCCTGGTCAAGAGCCACAATCCACACCTTCTTCTTGCACAACACCTGGCTTGACAAGGACTTCATGAAGGTGCAAGATCATTATTCACTTGCTTTCAAGACCATGGCATACATTAAGGCCAACTTGATGGATCAAGCAATGGCATCCATGGCAGCCAAGCGCACAAAGGAGAAGTCAGATGCAGCCTACAAGAAGGCTTGCAAGCTTGCTCAATGTGAAGGTCATTCCCTCCCTCCCAAGCCAGAGAAGATTGAGATTCCCTGCATCAAGCAGTGTCTGCTTGCAGTTGAGGAAGCCATCAAGATCCCCGCCAACCATCCCCTCCTTGCCTATGCCAAGGCCTTCACCAAGTGGGAGCAAGCCGAGGAAGGCAATGGTGCAAGTGCAAGTTCAAGCCCATCCAGCTTCCTCTCACTCTTGGGCCACCCTCCAGCCCAAGCGTCCCAGGCTGGCACCTCCACACCCATGGTTTGTGGCAAGGATCATGCTCCCTCAAACTTGGCCTTGACCTCGACACCCACTCCCAAGAGCACATCCACACCCTTCTCCCATGAATGTGCTGACAGTGGAAGCTCCTTGATCTTGCCCATGATGCCTACTGCTCCTGCATCCTCCCACACAGCAACCATGACCTTGGGCACACCAGCCTCAACCATTGGCTCACCTGCTCACATTTTCAATGCCACTGGCTCTGCTTGCATGGTGCATGCAGTTGGGCATGGCAAGATCCTCACTGCCAACCCAACCAAGTCCTTCTCCCAGCTGATCTTCATGCACCCCAATGACGAAGAGGGCTACCATTGCATGCATGAGCTCCCATACAACACTTGTGCAGCTTGTGCCAACTACTTCCATGATGTTGGTCAAGAGCATGCATCTGCCATTGAGTACAACTTGTGCGTGGTCTACTTCTTTGATCATCCTGTGACTTGGAGTGACTCCATGAACAAGAACATCCCCTCCACATACTGGAAGAACATCTACCTGACCATGGTCAAGGATTGCCTCATGGACATCTGCAACAGCAGGTTCTAGGCAAGCACAAGGACAACACATCAGCAGGGTGGGTGGGGCAATATTTCTTTTCAATTCCTTTCTCTCATACAAGTTCTCTGCATGGCCTGAGCATGCATGAAGGTCCCTGTTACTTAAAAAACCCACATGTTCTTGTTCTCCTGCCTGTACACCACTTGTTTTGAGTTCTTCTAGTACAGCTTGTAGAATATGAACTTGTTGACATGCTTGTGCTTGTGGCATGTGCTTCTAATCACATGAGGAGGCACACACATCTGTGTACATGTCCACGTGAGCTGGATCAAGTGGCATGCAGCCCCCTTGTCCTCTCCTTCTCCAACTTGTCTATCTTCTCTTCCCTTGGCTCACACAATAAACTTCTTGCTCTAAGAACAGGATCATGGACTCTCTGGGGCCAAGCAAGAAGAACTGGGGCCAGCAGAAGCTCACATGGGATTCAAATTGCCTATGACATGCAAAGGCTGCCAAACTGCTTGATGTTGTGGAGCAGGCATGGATCCAAATGCTTGACAAGATCTCCATCAACATGGGGTTCTCCAAGGACATCATCAATGCAAACATGAAGGGGAGGAAGGCCGGGTACTTCAACAACAAGCACCATGTAAGCTTGCATAATGCTGCTAAGCATCTGCTTGCCAAAGAGGCTTGGGCAAGAGGCACATCCATTGCTTCCCTTGTAGATGCTGGCTCATTTTCTTCAGGTCAAGTGTTCTACTGGGCCTTGCCTGAGAATCAGCCCATCATCAACTCCAAGGTTGACTGGCTTTGTGAGCATCCTGAAGCTGCACTATCCGTTGAGCAATCTCTCTTGGCCAAGCAAGAGAACAAGCATCTTCAAGTCCAATTCCCTGGTCAAGCTTGTCAAGCTGATACAGTCCTTGTTCAAGACACATTCCAGAAGGAGGCAAGTTCTTGACATGGGTGTCACCCAATTCTTGCTGATCTTCAAGCACAGAGTGCTGCTTTCAGTACTTGCACCAGTGGTCATGCTTGCAGCTTTGTTGTGCATGGCAGTATCAAGGACTATGCCAAGCCACACTTCTTTGGGGATGAACTTTGCAAGCAGTTCTTCAAAGAAGTTGTGGGATATCCCATCTGGGAGATTGCCATGGGCTTGGAGGCATACTGTACGAGTGGAGGTGCTCAAGGCAAGTTCTTTTACCTTGGATCATTTGCCATCACTTGTACATCCTTGATAACTCTATCCCAGGTGCTGCAAATACCTTGAACAAGAAGGTGAATGAGATGAAGGCACATATCCAGCTGGTACTGAATACAAGCCTTTGTAAGCAGGTGCAAGTCCTTGTTTGGCAAGTACTTACATTCTCATAGAGAAGCTCATGTGCAAGAAAAACATTGTCATGTCATACAAGCAATTTGGCCATGACATCAAAGACCCATACAAGATCACACTCCAAGGTTGGCCCTTACCAGCACTCATTAATCCCTCATACATCTCCTCACTTGGCAACCTGCAAAAGGTTCAACAAGGTCTTGCAGATGGGTCTTGTTTCTTTTGGCCCATGAGTGAGCAAGACCTTGTTTGTTGTGCAGAAGAGTGAGCCCATATGTCTGCCCTTGGACCAAAGAAGTGCAAGCAGGTTGCAAGGGTTGAGATTGAAAGCAATTATGACCCTGTTGAAATTCATCCACATGCAACAAAGGTGGCAAGGACAAGTACAACAACTTGTGCTTCCCAGAGTGCACCAGCTGCAGTGGATCTTCATGGGGATGTGTCTCACCTAATCCCACATGCTGCAATGGTGCAAGCCCCTGTGCTTGCTACTGGACTGACAACATCCCAGGTGAACCCCATGTTTGTCAACATGTTCGCCAATGTGGGCGAGTGGGTGGATCAAAGACAAAGTGTATTTCTACAATGATAGTACATCCAACATCATACAACCACATGTTCTACTCCTCTGTCAGAGCCTCAACTAATTGACAAAGCACCACAGTCTTCTTCCACTTCTCAAGGCATGCCAGTGACTTCACCTTCTTCTTCTTTTGATTCTCCCGCACCTTTTTGGATTGTTGGCATTGATAGTCAAGACAATGTTTCTTGGTTCTAGTTGATAATGATCAGCAAGCACATGAATATGAACAAGTGCCACTTGCCTCTCTAAATACATGGCCCATTTCTTTTCCTGTGGACTACAGAGATAAAGATACTTTGCTGAGGGATCAACAGCAACTTGTGTGTTGAGCTTGAGCAAGGTGACCTTGGTGATGATGGGGGGGTTCTTGGTGATGAGGGATGGCATGGTGGTTGATTGATTGAAAGCTTGCCAATTGGCAGAAGCAGTGTGGCAGGCACATGTATTACAGGGACATGTGGATGATGTATACTTCCATTTGTTGCTGGATTTTGCCTGGATGAGAAATGCTTGTGTTTCACCACAAAGGTGTGGTGGAGATGAGCATTGCCTCTCACACAAGTGCATGGCCAGTGGTCGCTTCTTAGGTGCTGAATGCGGTCATGACCCTGACCAAATGCTTGATAATATGTGGCTGTACTTTTATCATGTGACCGATGCTCTGCTTCTTCTCGTTTCACCAGTCACCACCATCATCGCCCTTACCCCGGGTTGCCTTCTTTTGGCGGCAAAATAGACTTACACCGAATCTTGCCACAGAAGAGACATTCACTTCTGACTGACCAACGTAGTTCATCTAATGGGAGCCCTGATAATCATGAAAGCCCTGAGGATACACGAAGTCCTTCCGCCACTCCCGTTTGGCTAGTGATGGTCAACACATGGCTTGTTATCATAATCCATTTTTCGCCTGCACAACGAAGGTCCGTTCTCCCGGTGGCAGGATATCCGGCCGGCCTTAAACGCCGCCCAATTCATTTTGTTCCGCCGGTGAAAAAATGCTCTCGTTTGCCTAATACCTTTCAGGGCCACAAATTTCCCCACCAGCCTCGCACCCCGTACGACCCATCAAGAACACGATAATTGTTCTCTGATCTTCCCTTTTTATGTCTGCTGTGAGACACATATCTATATCCAGCCGTCATCTGCATTTTCTGTCTCTATTCATTCTGTGCGCGGCGGCGAGAAAGTGAGCACTTAGTCTTTCCTTCTGCCTTCTCACCGTCTTGCATGCTCAATATATTCAAGCGATGGATCTAGTTAGCGACTGTGGTACTCCGTTGCTCACTTCAGTGTCACAGCTCTCAGATCTCTCTTCACCCCCGCTGACTCCTCCTCACACAACGGCCGACCGTCATCTCAAGCATGCGCTCTCTACAGATGACGAACCTTTTTTGGACGACGAGTCACCCCACGCGATCAAGAGACGTAAAATCGCAACAAGGCAGAGCGCGTCCGATGATAACATACAGTTATGGGCCGAGCCTCTAATCACCACCGAATCTGGCAGTGTCCCCGACACGTTCATCGACGCGTTCAGCACCCACAGAATCAACGATTATGCGCATGAAAAAGGGTTATTGAACGAACACGAGATATTTGACGCGTCAAACGCGAATGTGCTGGATGTAGCGGCCGACGACGGTCATACCTGCGACCCTGCTCGAGATTCTTCCAGCCGTGAAGCCACATATTGTCAAGCTACTAGCACCAAGCCCGAAAATTCGATCCAGTGTATTAAACCCGACCCTGTTGAAGATACTATTAATGAAGCCAAGTCTGGAAACTCTATCCAGATCATCTCTCCCATTGTAACTGGGACTCCGAAATTTGCTTTCGACAACCGAAATTTAACTGGTCGTGTCCAGTCTAGGGACTCTGCTTCTGGTATCACTCAGTCGGACGATCCGCCCACATATCCACCAAACGTATCCAACAAACTTGATGGCATCTCTGCACCTGTGTTCGCCTCCTCAACGGAAATAATGTTGTGGAAGAAGGAACATATGGATGAGGAATGGAATGCCGCTTCAAGAGTGCCCCCTCAAGTGAAGCAGGATGTGCTTCATTATGATCAGCGTACGCTTCTTATATATGACCAGCGTAGTGCATTCACTACCGTTCATCGGTACTCCAGCGTCCAAAGGGGCCCAGGATGCAGGGGACATTTCCCCCGGTTTTACAGACTGCTCTGCAGAGACAAGGCCTCACAGTTCGTTCACCGCTTTTTTACCAGTCATCGATCAATTCTTTTTGACGGTCATTTGCAGCAAATATCTCCCCGACAACTCATGAAATATCCCACCACTCAGATGTGCTAGAAATGTTCGAGGAATATAATGTTGCATTCGGTGGGCAATGGGAGCTCGCCCGCCTACAGTCCTTAAAACTATTCAAATGGGAGGACCTCCTCAGACCTCGGTGTGGAGAAAGGTGGCTTCCCAATGTCACGCTTTTCACTGGGTCGTGCAAAGACATCGGTCCCAAAATTCTACGCCTCGTAAAGGACAAGGTCGCACGGTGGAATAAACCTTCGGACACTTCCATGGATACATATCGAGACGAGGCATTCTCTCATGAAAGACAGGTCAAGTCTCCTTGGGGAGAACTGGACAAAGAAGACGATGCACTTGAAAAACAAGACAAATCATCCAACAAACACGAAGGGATGGGCTGCTTCAGCCAGAGTTCCGATGTCTTCCATGGTAAAATTCGATTCGGAATTTCAGTTACTTGGACAGGCAGAGACACACAGCTGAAGCTTGATCCATTGGAGATCGATCGGTTCACCCGGTTGACACGAAGATTCGGTTCCAGAAGGCTCATCAGGATGAAGAATGTCTCCTCGTATCCCCCAAATGAATTTATGAAGAACTTCTTCCTGCAAAAATTCGTTTTCATGGGTCGCGTTTATCGATCTTTCTTCGTGAAGGAGAACACAGTCTTTCTCATAGAGACGAACGAAACCCACTGCGGAACAAAGGCCCGCGATCGTTTCAGGCTGTCTCTATGGGAGTTCGTGAATTGGCATAATCCGCTATATTGTAATCAGCAGCAGGTGCGCCGGTTCGTCAGTCCTTGCCCTATACTCCCTGACATCCGTAATCAGATCATGACTAAATGGGCCGCGCGGTTTGCTCTCATGTTATCTACGGTATGTTGCCACCTCTACTGCCAACTTGACAAATTTTGACGGACTTGTTAGACCTCTCCAGGTGTTTCCATTGAACCCGAGAACATTCATTTCATCCCGGACGAAGGTACTACAACCCTAAGCACCCAAGACAGGCGCAGATCTATCTGTAGTGTCAATGGCGCATGTAGAACCAGGGAAGCCACAAAGTCACCACGTGCTGACAGATGGTGCTGGCTATCTGAACGGCTCTGCCATGTTGCAAATCTGCAACCGATTAAAATGGGGCAAAGTTCAGGCAGCTGTCCAAGCGCGATTCGGTGGAGCAAAAGGCATGTTTCTGTTGCATCCCGACTTGGACTTCGAAGGTCCTCCTACAATATGGCTACGCCCTTCTCAAGTGAAACTCAAGTACGCCGAAGACCCGGAAGAATGGGATCCGGCAATGCGCATTCTCGACGTGGTCAAGCCACCATATCTACGGTCCCCAGCTCGACTATCCATGGAAACTATTGTAGCGCTTGCAGACAGACAGGTATCTCGTTCCGTAATTCTGTCGTACTTGAGGGACGGCCTGTTGGAACAAATTCAGTCTCTGTTCGATTTTCAAAATGCGTCGCCGTTGCAACAATGGCTTGAGCTCTCAAGAGAAGGTGCAGTTATCTCTGCTCGACTCAAGCGCTCTGCTCTGGGTACTGCAAGATCCAAGGGTCTCACTCGAGAGGAGGATGAAAACGAGCTACGCACGGATGATGACCTGATTGAAGATCAAGGAGAGCAGCGTTCATCGGCCTGGTGGTAAGGTTCCTGATGCATATCTCCACGTGAAATGGCTGAATAGCAGAGTAGGCCAGATGAGATCAGCGGGTGCCCCAGTACGCTCGAAGAGAGCGCCTTGTTCGCACTAGACTCTGGCTTCACCCTTGAAACATGTTCTTACTTACGCCGAAAAGTGGGAAAGATCCTGGAGCAGATCCTGACAAGTCACATCTCAAAATTCAAACTCGTCGTCCCTCCTTCCGCCGAAGGGTTCGCAATTCCAAGTGAGTCATTCTGGACCAGGGAACACTCGTTTCTCATCAACACGTTCAGGCCCTATACCTAGTGCATTAAAGCCCGGCGAGATCTTCTTGCGCATGTCCCGTGAACGAGTGGACAGTCGGACGGGTATGGCAACAGATGTCGTGGTCGGCGACGTCCTTATTGGTGCGCGGTCTATTTCCTCACCTGCATGCCTGACCATCCTGTGAAGTTCGCCATCCATGCAAACTTCCTTCTGATATCCAGCTCGTCAAAGCCGTAGACTGTCCCGAGGTGTGGCTTCTCGACCATGACCAGCGCGATCTCCAATCTGACATTGCTCACAGCTCCGCCATTGGAAAGACGTGATCATCACGAGTGTCGACCGAAGTCAGCCCCGTTCTCTGCTATCCAAGTTAGCAGGCGGGGACTATGACGGAGGTGCGAAACCTAATTCGGATTCCTAGCGCGCATCCTGATTCGCTCAGATACGGTCGTGATCTACTGGGACAAAGACCTGATTGCGGGGTTCAAGCCAGCTTCTGACGAGTGTCTGGACCCCCCCGACCGGGTTAAGGACTGCTTCGAGTACTCGATGGGCAGTGTAGAGGATTTCCTCAAGACGAGCGGTACACTCCCCGAAGCGGAAAAGATGCTCGAGATCCAAAAACGCCTCCTGTGGTCGTTCACCCTCCCCAGTCCGGGAAAATGGTCCATGGTAAGCGTAGCCCTTTCTCGTGGACCGAGCTCACCCGGAGGGTACTGTAGTATCACGACACTCTAGCGTACCTAGAAGGCCTCGACGACGCACGCTCGATATTCATGGCACATGTATGTGCCGCCTTCTCCGCGGGACGATCATTAACCGGACATTACAGGTTCACCACCGCGCTAGACGGGGCCAAGTCTGGGCTGCAAGTCAAGCCCGCCGTGGAAAGGGCTTTTCAGCAAGCGTTGGGAAGGCTGTACCCTCCGAACTGGAAGATGAGGGAGGAGAGGCAGAAGCCCTTCAAGCCTGTGAAGGGGAGGGAGCAGCCGGTGCTCAAACCGGGGTTTATAATGGAACAGCTGGTTGAGGAAGGCAGTAAACTCGTGAGTTTCCTTCTCCTGCCTGCTGGGAGTGCTCATTGGGGTACGTAGGAAAAAGAGCACCTGGCCGCGTTCAGGGCCAGGTGTGAGAAGGTCATCGTACCACCGGACGGCGATCCAGATCTTATAGAGCCATACAACAGCCTCCTACGACTAGGCCACGAGCTGGGCGCAGACGTCCATCTCAAGATCGAGAAGGTGCGCATGCCCCGCACTGGCAGCTCCATTCATAGTCTGTACAGGCTAACGAGCGCAGGAACTAGCAGCAGTGATGAGACACGTTAAGGAGATCAGGGCAGAACGTCTAGCCGCGGTCCGCGACCCCTCCTCCAACCCAACAGCACACAGTTTCACAGCACGCAACATCACCCAGCGACAAGACGTCCTCCGCTCCCTTTCCGCAAAGTTCGCAGCAGGGCCAGCGGCAGATCAGGTCCCCTTCCTAACCAGGTTTAGGCTGCTCCCGTCTGTGAGAGCAAGCGCGGCGTATGTCCTGGATTGGAAGATGGACAGCGGGCGCGTGCTTTAGGAGAGAGGGACGAACTTCCCGTTTGATATGGCTATGCGGGAATTGGGGAGGCTTAAGGCTGACCCGCGAGGCGGGGGAGGGGGAGGGGGGTGGAAGATGGTCAAGCAGGAGTTTTATGGTGCGTTTCGGATTCCGAGGGGGGTTGTGCAGAGGGTGGGGGTGTATGAGCCGAGCGGGTGCGCGACCGGGGAGGGGCAGGAGGAGGGGAGGGTTGGTTTGGGAGAATGATGTGCCTAGATCTGATCTTTTTCGAAAAAAGACTGATACGTCAGTTAGATAAAAATACTACAGTGTCTGATTAGTGTGCTGATATGATGGATCTATGCCAGGTGTGTGTTTGAGGGACTGTTCAACCCTAATGTACTTGTGTTATGATGGACAGCGCGGGGACACTAGGTTCCTGGTCATTCTCGCAGTGCAACGAACTTGGGACTGCATCCCGAGAAATAAACGATATCTGTGCTGTGTGGTTGCTTTGCGTTTGGACTCGTTATTAATAACTTGTTGACTCGTGGACTTGAGCCTGGGAGTTTTACCATGAATCCGAATCCAGAGAAGGAGCAACCAGGGGCAGGTACAACTTTATGCGTTACACTGTGTGTTGCGATGTTTCTGATGTCGCAGTGGCATGGAACACGGTGCGACGGGCGACAGGCGGTTGGCCTGGCAGGGGAAGTCCGGTGTTCTCGGAGAGGAATTACGTGAGTTTCTGTTCTACGTGTATGCCTCTGGGTTGTTCACTCAGGGCAAGGGTGAGGATGTTGGCTGAAGCTGAAGCGAGCCGTTGAACTGTCAGACAATGCGAGGCGATGGGATGCGGACAGGCCATGCACAGGCCATGGATAGGCCAGACAATGGCCATGTTTGCATATGGTGATGTAGCGGGATCAAATATAAGGAACGGAATGCCTCCGATATGCCGAGAATGGCCTTGTATACGCCGTTCCTCGCCTCCGAACTGTGTTCCCTTCTTGGCACCTTCTCTTCTCTTCTTAACAGTACACCACGTTCACTACAATACCCACAATGTCTATCCATACACCTCCTCATACTCCAACTCGACCTCATCCTCCCTCTTATCCTCTCTCTCCCCCTCAACCTCCCCCTCCCCCTCGACCTCAACTACAACTCATGACACCAAAGAGAGCAACTACAAAGTCATACATCCCAACTCCTGCTGCTTCACGTCCTTCATCTCCTATCCCTTCTCTCACAATCGACACAGAGAAACCAAGGAGATCATCAACAAGCATATCACGCACTCCTTCTTCACTCTCCCTCCCTCTCCCTCTTCCCCTCCAACACACTTCCCTAGGTCTCACAAAACGTCACAGAAGACTCACAGCTCTCCTCCTCACATCCCTCTTCCTCCTCCTAGCACTCGCTTACTCCCTATTTCACCTCTCATCAACAGGCCGTCTTCTCCCAATCGACGTCCTCCTCTCCCACCCATCCTCACCCCCCACAACCCCATCAACCTACAATGCCCGCCCCAAACCCCCTCCCTTGCCCCCACTCCTTCTCTCTCCAGAAGAAGAACTCGCAGCGCTCGTATCCCACCTCGCCTCCGTCCTGGACACCAACTCCCTCCCAGCAGAAATAGACCCCTCGCTCCCGATCGATCCTGATTATCTACTGGGGTTCGACACCCGAGGCCCGGATAGGGAGACAGTGGATGCTAAAGTGAGGGATATGGTTGCCGACACGTGGGCTACACTGCCAGTAGTGGTATTCACCAAGGTGCCCCCCCTCCCCCCCGCACGCTCGTTCGTTGCTCACCCCCTGCAGGCAGGCCCAAGGAGCAGAGAAGTCCTCTCAATCCTTTCATCCTACTCGCTCACCCCAGCCCCGCTCGAGATATCCCTCGACAGCACCCGGCCAGACTCTCCCCTCCTCCTCCGCGCCTTAGCCAGGCTCACAGCTTCCTCCCTCCCTACCTCCTCCACTGAGGGAGAGGTCTCACTCCCCCTGCTGCTGTTGGGAGGGAAAGCGGTACATAGGACTGTGAGGAACTTGCATGCGAATGGGGAGCTGAGGGGGATGTTTAGGGAGGCTGGGGTAGGGGTGGGGAGGAACCCGCTGAAGGATACGAAGAGGTGAGTCTGGGAGGAGTGGGAGGGGGCGCAATGCGCTGGAAGGACAGGATAGTGGAAGGAGAAACATCTTGACATCGACATCGACAAATCATCATCATCATCACACCCTTAACAACATCATCATGCCACCCTTACACCCACAACAGCACCGACAGAACAACAAACATTCGCACGACAGACAAACCGACCGCAATTCGCTCATTCACTCTTACAGCACACTCTTTCAAACTCATTTCAAACTCACACTCACACTCGTTTGCCTTCCTCCTCCCTTTACCCTTTTCCTCTTCCCCTCTCCCTTGCACTTGCACTTCCGCTTCTACTTTCTGCGTTCTACGGCTGAAGATGGTGCACTGTTTTCCTAGGGTTTATAGGCTTCTCTTTATCCTCTTTATCTTTATAGTCACCCTTGTCTTTTTTTCTTTTGCTAGATGCGTAGCTTGACAACCTACCCTTGCGTCGTACATCGTACATCCTTCCACTACTTACATCTACACTTTACAGTACATCCGTTTCGCTCTATTCTCTTATAGAGCCCTTCACTCTCCCCTTGCTCGCACGAAATCGGACACTCCCCCCCCTCCCCCCATTTCTTTCTTTGCCTCAGTTCTGGCAGTTTGTTCTGTTCAGCTCACTTTTGGCAGTTTGTTCAGGCATATAACCCTTTTTGGATTTTGGAGGGAACGGATGTAGTAGCTAGGAATATAGCTTGAACGACCAGCGTGCGTTCTCATTGGTATAGAACTGGAGAAGTGGAGTGTGGGCGTGGGTGTGGGCGTGGGTGTGGGCCTCTGGGTTGTATGGTGGTTTCTGGGTCTTGCTGGGGGTTTGGTATTAGGATTGGGATTGGGGGGTGGGGATGGAGGATGATTGTTGTTATCTGATTATATGTCTCCGATGCGTATGGGTATCATCCTGAGCCTAGCCTGCCAAGGGAAACAGCCCGCCAACCTTGGGACACGAGAGAAGACGAGCTGCTTGGACTCAGTACCTGGTCGGTAAGCAGCTGCTGTAGGCTGTAGGCTGGGGGTTGTTAGAGGAGCTCGAGATGGAGCTTGGGAGCTTGGGTCGGGTGCATGGGCTGCTGAGGGCTGCTGAGGGCTGCCCATCCTCCCCATCCTCCCCATCCTGCCCCATCCTCCCCATCCTGCCCCATCCTGCCCCATCCCCCCATCCCCCCTCCCCCTCCCCCTGCAGGGCACCATTCTCCCGCTGCTGCAGCTGCCCCCAGACCCCCTTCCCCCGCCCCGGCCCCCCGTCCCATCCTCCCACGTATGCACGCCCCCAAGCCTAAGCAGGATGGGCAGGATGGGCAGGATGGTAATGGATTAGGGATGAGGGATGGGGTAGGTAAGAGACGAGGGACGAGGGATATCGATCATAGAGGGTACTGGTGCAGGAGTACAGGAGTGCAGGAGTGCAAGAATGCAGAGTGAAGGCGACTGGCCGGGAACGTACATCGGGAGACGGTGCGTCGTCCGACAACTTAAAGACAGTAGGTATGTTCGTGTTTAGCGCTATAAGACATACGCGCGCCTGCAGCGAGGTGAGTCATCTTGCTTTGTGCGTGTTCTGGCGTTTCTCGGAAGTGCCGGTCCACTAGGCGTTGGGTTTGCTCGATGGACAAGGTACTACGTGCCATCAGCGGGCCAGGGCCAGTCGCTCTCGCGTGTGAGATGACTGCTGTGATAGGGGAACGGTCCGTGATGGTGCTGTGGGTGCTGTGGGATCAGGCTGTGCGAGATCACACTGCGCTGATTGTTCCAACAATGAGGTCTAACAATAAGTCGATCTGCTGAGCCCAAGCTGTGTGCGCTGACTGGATACATGTACGTTTCCAGGAAAAAACAATAGGAGGAACAAACTGGCTGAATTCATGGATGTGAGATGTCAGCCAAAAACAGCCTACAGTAGCGGTCGTCGCTTAGTCCTAGTCGTCGTCCCCGTACGCTTCGAACCGTTTCAACCGCTCACCCTTGTGCGACGCCTCGTCATCGACTACCCATCCCGTCTGTAGCTGGCAGTCGCGCAGGGATGCGTTCTTCCCTATCCTACAGTTTGAACTGATGATGCAGTTCTCGATCTTGGCCCTGTTTGACGGATATCAGCGATCGGATCTGATAGGAAGAAAGTCGCACTTGCCCGTCTTGCACCTCGACGTGATCCATCAGTACTGATCCTGATATTCGCACGTTCTTGCCGATCAGGCAGTGTTTCCCAATCACGCATTTCTTGACCGTCGTCCGCTCTGCTATTCTCGTCGATGCCCCAACCAAAGAGTCGGGCGAGACCTGCGCTTTACCGTCGATCCCCTCGCCCGTGACGGGTGCGGTCGCAGTCGTTCGCAGACATTGTCGATTTAGCTCGAAGTATGTGCCGAGTGTGTTTGCGCGGGCGGCGTAGCCGTCCTTGTGCACGACGACATTGCACCGGATGGGATAGTCTGATGGGGATCCTTCAGGTTCCTCAGCGGCTTGACTGGCTGGCACCGACTCTCCAGGTGGTGTTGATGCTCCAGATTGAGTGAAAGGCGTAGAAACGACGGATTTGTGGATAGGCTTTTCTCTAGACGCGTGATTCCTTTGTGAGGGTGGCGGGGTATACGTCGTGGAATGTTCTAAAGCCAACTCCTGCATGTTGGCATTGGGGCTGATGACTGCGTGCAGCAGTCAGCCTCCACGAGGTGACATGTTCGATAATAGCTCACTCGGCCCATACTTCTCCCTCCGCCGGGGCTGATATTGCAGCTTGCACAGGAACGGCACGAGCTGTTCCCGCACCGACGATATCTCGTCTTTCTGCTGAAGGAGGTCGAACACAGATCGACGGAAAACATACACGTGCGAATCTGTCAGACGATTTGTCATTTTCACCCGCGGATATCTAAACCATGTTCAAATAGAGCCATGTGGGCACAGACTGGGACAAACCTCCAGAGCATGTTCATCCGTAGCGCGACGTCGTCTTCCGGGTCGGCGTTATCGTCGACAAATAGCAGGGTATTTGACTGCGCGTGCAACCCCATCAGAGTAGGCACGGGACCGTCCTTGACTTCCTCCCCTGTCTCCACCAGCAGAGCAGTCATGACGGGATCCTCTACATCAACGCGATGCGCGTTTAGCAGGAGGTTCAGTGGAAGAGAGGGCGGAGGAACGAAGTCGCAGGGCAGTACAATCGCGTCAGACTAGACCCGAGTCAGCGCCATCTGCACTGTGGCGACACAAAAAATGCGCACCTGTATTCGGTCGGCGAACATGCGCAAGAGATCCGCTGCGCCCAGAGACTCAGCTTCTTCATCATCCACCGACTCTAATTCGACACGTAACGACGGCCATGAGGAATTCTGGGAGGACAGGTGGTGCTGTATCGCTACCTTGTGTGACTGTGGCGTGATGAACAGTACATCTGGAGGCTGGCAGTCAGCATCCCATCCACGGGAAAACGGAAACAGCAACTGCCACGCACCGAACACCCGAGCCTCCTCCAGCCACTGCAGGGCATACGATACCATGGGTTGGTTCCCTATGGGAAGCAGAGCCTTGTGTACCCCCTTTTCATCGTCCACCAGTGGGTCCAAGCTATTGTTCTCAGTCAGACCGCGTGCCACTAGATTTTCGGAATTAGCACTCACTTGTTGCCATACCCTGCAAGAATGACGGCGTGAAACTCGGGCGTCTTCGATGATATTACTCCATCGCTGGGAAATAACATTCTCCAAATCTAGTCGCTATTTCTTTGCTGCTCGCAGGTATCGTTATAGGTATTTTGTTCGGTAGTTTAAACCTGGTTGGATGACAATAATGTAGTGTGGCAGTGTGCACCGAGTCAGGGTTGAAGAGGGAGAAGACCCTGGAAGCGGGGGGAGGATATGTAAGAAGACTGATGATGGGCGCTTCTTTTTCCATGCCACGTTCCTACAATCATTGCATTTCCGAACCTCCTGCTTTCCTTCAGCTTATTATCCCGAAGGCACATGCACCACTATACGACCGATGTGTCCCTCTGCCGCTGTTGCTCTGTGGAGCATGTGGCACGTGTGGCACTGTGTGTGGCTCTCAACCGTCACTCTAGGGAACGGCAGCTTGGCTGCCGTGTGTAGAACCTCGTGCTCCGCAGTATTAGGAGCCCTGGCATACCAGCGGCATCCCCGCACTTCTGATGCCGTTGACCCTGTGTTCGTCTCTGCAAGGCGACTGTCGACGCATGCGATGACCTCAGGGAGCGCGAAAGGTTGACTCACACATTCCTCGGGAAACTGGTCTTGATGCTGCTCTGTAATGCGATAGGGAATTGTCGGAAAGTTCGCGCAAAATTGGACGCGAGGTGGGCACGTAATTCAAACGCAACCCATCATGAAAGTTCACAAACATATTTAAGCGCTCTCAGAGGAATCACCCTACACCCAGCGCCAACCCTCGAAGCCAGGATCGCTCGAACACCATCGCACCTCCCTCAAGATCAGCAACACCATGACCATGTACGCCCCCGCTTACGGGCCTTCTGCCTACGGGATGCAGCCCGGCTGGAACGCAGCGACATCCTACCCAGGTGCGACAGCCGGCGCGCTGGTACCCTACAACCCCAACACTTACGGCACCGGTTCACCCACTAGCGCACTCGGACTCTACGATGGCTTTAATATGGGGTACGCCTCCAACCGTCGCCCATGGGCTTACGGTCGGGTGAGGTCTACCATTGAGTTCAACGACTGGGACTCGAACAACCCATTCTGGCTCTTGTCCAACTCGGCGCCTCTTCCTCTCTACGATGAACAGGGGCGCTTCCACCCCACGGCCGCTCACCTGTTCCACGCGAGGAAGGTAACAGCAGCTTGACCCTCTGCTTGACCGATGGGCAGCTCACGCGAACCTTGTCTCTTCAGTTCTTGGATCCACGCCTGGCTGACCAGGTCAGCGCGTGTTCAACAGCCCAAGGTGCAAAGGAACTCGCCGACTCCTGGCGCCCTTACATCAGGCCTGACTGGAGGCGAGTGAATGTCCAAATGGTAAGTTCGCCTTACAGTCGGCTCGCAGAATTATGCCGATGCGCCTGTTCAGATGGAATGGGTGATACGCGAGAAACTACGGCAGAACCCGCAGTTTGCCCAGCTCTTGATGAGCACTGGGAGGTGTTATCTCCTCAACGTGCGTCGTCTTCTATCTAACAGTGAAACGGGCCAACTTGTGCCTCAGACATCCATTGACGAGAACTTCTGGGGCATCGGCAGTGGCCGAGGCCGTAACGAACTAGGCAGGGCACTCATGAGACTGCGCAAGGAGCTCTGAACCAGCTCTTCCTCCAAGTTCTTGACTTACTCTGACTTACAATTGCTATCATATCTATCGCCTGAAGAATCGACATGTAAGAGTGTTCTGTTTCTGCTTAATGACTTCTACGTTTTCTGGCTGTACTCTACGAACTTCCTGCTGTCCATCGTCGCGGGCGGGTACCGTGCGGTGAAGCAGTTCATACGAACTAGATTATGCCCTTCAATGATATATGGGGGTTACTTGATTTGATAGCGTGATAGGATATCACGTGGCGGTACATTTGCAGTCTCAAAAACGGCGTCTATTACACCACTTTCCAACATCCGGGGCTGTGTTTCTTCTGAGAACGCTAGGTCCAACTGACCAATTTAGATGAGCTCAGTGGGATCCAACAAACTGCGATCATAGAAAATGAAAATACAGAAGGTTGGTCCTTAGGTACTCTGCGTCCTCACGAAAGGGGAATAGAATACGCCGTTGATTATACATATCTGAAACAACGCATTCTGTGAGTCATTTAACTCTGCGTGTATTGTTGTCGCGCAGTTTTCCCATCGAATTATGCAAGCGTTGTTGTGTACTGTAGTACATCTTACATCTACAAAAGTACCAATCACGTGATTCCCTGATCAATCGCTAGGTGACTCTGATGTTAAGCGCCTGGACCACACGCACATTCCGCATCACGAGCCCAAAGCCATTGGAATTTACGACATGTGGGGCAAAGTGAGGGGCCAGGTGGGGCGATTAGCGCCGTGGTTTTCTTGACGGTGCCAATCGGCGGTTAACGATGATTGTCGAATGGCTAGAAAATGTGAGACGGTATTCCTCTACACCTAATCCATGGTTTTATCGAGGGGGGGGGGTGGATGCTAACACTCACTCATCTCTTGGTTAGACTGACACCATATATCTGACAGGTTCTCATGAGATGTGCAAGGGATGCCATTGGTTGAGCAAAAAAGCATTGATGGTTGAGCAGGACGATAAGACGAGCAATGCCCATTGTGCATCTTACTATCCTGCTTGAGCCCATTGCACATCTTACTCTTTACTTGATTACTTACAAATGTCGAAGGCAGTGAGTCACAGCATCCAGCTGGTATTAAGGAGTGTTGATACCAAAGTTCGATTATAGTCAGTTAGGGAAGAACAAGGGAGAGTAGTGTGTGATGATTAGCAACACACCGTCCCATATACGGTTGGTGTATGTTCCGGAGATGCCGAGCGGAGCGGGCTTGGGCCGTCGGGCCGAGATGCGTCGTTATGCAGATCCCCAAAGTGCGGACATTCCGTTCCTCAATGTGAAACATAGCCTCATCGTCAAGGAAACATTCCATAGCCAAGAACATACCATTGATGTTCCTGGCCAGGAGAACAAGGCAAGGAGGTGAGAGGAGGGGATGATGTGTTTTTGGTGGAATCAGCGGCGCCGGATGAACGGGAGCAGTTGCGGTCATGAGGGTTCAATAGCCGAAATGACCCGCCGCCCTCTCCTTCCCGCCTTACCCGCTGCCTGTTGCCTGTTAATGTTCATCCCCCCTCCTCCCGCACCAATGTTTGATTAAGGGCAAGTCAGCTGTTGAGCAGGAACAAGTACCTTTTTGGTGGCATAAGCGAACTTGGCTCTCGGATGTACGAGAAGGGGATGAAGGCATGGGCTGTTCCGAAGAAAGGACCGGAAGCGGAGAGGTCAGCCTCCTTGGTTGATGCTCGAAGAACGTGAATGGCTGGGCATACCTAGGGGTCATATAAAGCCACCCTAGGCGTGTCAACCCGTTGACAACAGGTCAACGAGCAATCGTTGCGCATCGACCACAACCTGCTACTACCACAACCACAACCACAACCACCACAGCCGTAATCACGCCTGTGACACTCCTTGCTGCAGCTGCGTATCCCTCTGCTACAGCAGCATCCGTCGCAAAGATGACGTCTATGATACCAGTCGAACCTACTTACGCCGCAATGGCAACTTCACCTACTACGGGGCGCAAGTTCTTCAGACGGTCATCAGAGTCCCACTATAATGTGCGTCATCCCCTACTCTCCCTCCTCCCCGTACGGAGGCTGATGAGATATAGCACCCCTCTGATGTGGGCGGTGCTGCTCTTCAAGCAACGACAGACCCTGTCACAAATGCCGCGATGGAAGAAGAGCTCGAGATGGAGCAAGAAGAGGAAGAAGGCTGGGTGGGCGAGGCTCGCAGGATCTGGCGACGCATGTCGTTTGGGGGCACGGCGAGCAAGCCTGCCGTCGAGGGAAAGGAGAAGGAAAAAGAGAATAAAGTACCCATTATCAAGCCTCCTGTGAAGGCACCCGCCCAACCCGTTGCGGGACATGAGCACGAGCATACACATGGCCCGCTGGCGTCGGAGGGGCATGCGAAGGGGAAGGAGGTGCCTGCCGTACCGGAGACGGAGGAAGTGCCTGCTCCACAATGAGGACGAGATGGAACATAGATGATGTACTTGTATGCGTGGGGACTTGGGATTGGGATACCTTATAGTGTTTCTGCTTGCTAAACGGTTAACATTGTTTTATTTGTGCTGCTACAATCTGTGTTACAGAAGCCCGTCAGGCATTCTCCAGTCTTGATCTATGTGACACAGTTGCCTGTCCTTGAGCACCATTTTACAACACCACATACCGCTTCTCCACAAGATACTCCATGATCTTCTTGACACACTCCTCAATACTCAATTTATCCGTACGCAAATGGATCTCCGGCGTCTTCGGAGCCTCATAAGGCGCTGAAATCCCAGTGAAATCTACCGAATCACCTCAGTACATCGGCATTCCATACAATGCGAAGATCCTACCAGGGATCTCCCCTTTCCTTGCCTTCACGTACAACCCCTTCGGGTCCCTCAATTCTGCCACTTGTAGGGGCACGTCGATATATATCTCGACAAAGGGTAGGCGAGCCTGCGTATGTATCGACCGTGCCAGGTCTCGGTCCGCCCTGTAAGGGGAGATGAACGAAGTGATAGCGATCGTACATGCGTCCGCAAAAAGTTTCGCCACCTTTCTCCTATTAGTGTCTTTCAAACAGGTACCAGCACGAGTAAACAACACACCTCCCCAATACGCCTAATGTTCTCCTCCCTGTCCTTCTGCCCAAAGCCGAGGTCCTTGTTCAGGCCCATACGGACGTTGTCCCCATCCAGCCTGTAAGCGGACTTCCGCAGGTGAAGGAGATGCTGTTCAAGCGCGCAGGCGATAGTGGACTTTCCTGACCCGGAGAGGCCTGTGAGCCAAAGGGTGAGCCCGGGTTGGGAGAGTAGGGCGGCGCGTTCCGTGGCCGTGACTGAGCCTGCTGGTGGTTAGCTGTCGTCCTCCGGATTGGAGAGGGGCTTACCTGGGTGGAAAGTGATGTTCGTTGCCATTATTATGTTACACTTGGATACAGACTAGGTAACACGGAGGAGGGGATGTTGAATAAGTGTACAATGTACAGTTGAGGTCATTGTCGTTCATATCCCATCAGTGCAAGGAGGAGACCAGCGAGCACGTAATTTCGATTTTTTGGGATAGATCCCGTTAGAAGGAGTTTATCCCGTCATCAACTCCGATCCAGTCAACACTGCGCCCTCTCAATCTTCCAATCTGACGGCTTCACAGGCTCTTTTACTTGAAGTGCTCTGGATGTTCAGCATTAATGGTCTGCCACTGCTTTTCTTGTCGCAAACTGCGATGCTTGGCACATTTGTCGGACCGAGCGTTTCAGACAGCTCTTCCGTCGCAACGGCTCCACAACTTACAGTTTTTCCCGCGTTCCATCACCGCGCGGCTCCAGCCAACTCTTTCTCCCAGAAAAAAACTTACAGTTCTCTGCTCATTTCCATTGTCTTATCGTGCTTCTTCTCGTCACAGCACATGGTTACACCTGATGCTCCGGCGTTGCTGTTCACACCAGGGTAGCTCAAAGCATAACACCATCGTCTGATATGCTTTCTCGAAGCGCTTCCTCGGCGCCAGCTATGATGCACCGTGCTTCGCATCCCCTAATGTCAGTATTATGTCTGCTGAAACCCTGCTACGTCGATTCCGGAAGTCCTGGAGGATGACAACGATGACGCATCCAGGCGATTCGCCGACCCACTGCGCTGCTTCTGCGCGAGCTTCACGCTCACGAACTCGGGAAATGTTCTATTCGCTCCCTCTCCGTATCGGGCAGAGCGCTGTTGAAAGCTAAACACTCGCTCTCTGATAAGAAATATCGAGGGTCAAGAGGCAGGCTCAGTTCACCTCTTCATATCTCTCTTCCCTTTCCTTCCTTGGGTGCCTTCAGCCGTCCACTCCTTTAACGGCTTGCCCCCACTCCACCCCAAACATGCACTTCCTCCGCGTCGTCACCGTCACGCTTCTCGCGTTTGTTGGCATCGCCCTCGCAGCGCACGAAGTGGAGAGGGAGATGACCAATGCCCAGCGTTTGGCTCGCGGTCTGCCTCCGGCGAAGCCCCAGAGACTCGTTAGAGCTGGACGTGCGTTTGATTCATTCCTTTCTGAGACCTCAGGACTGAGCGCCATTTTAGCGAGAGCACCAGCTGCGTCTCTGAAGTGTAGTTGAATAGGCTGGTTGGATAGCTTTGGGTACAGGTCGACAACTGCAGTGATATGAAAGCTAGCATGTCGACGCTCAGCTGGAAGCCACAGACCTCCCATTTCTCGGCATGGTCGAAGTGGAACCCAGTCTCAGCTAAGTGTTGCAACTCAACTGGGGTGTAGCGCTTCTCTTTAAGGATGGAATATGTTGAGCCTGCAGTTTCAGCGTTTTCATGGTTGGCCGATAGAGTACTCCGAGTTAAGTGACCAGAGACAGGGAAAACACTGAGCAGAGTTGCAGTGGATGGTGACTGATGCTGGGAGCCCTCCTCGTTCAGAAAGCAGGAATGAAAACAGCACGCGAATGTTTTGAGCATCTATGAGAATTAAGAAGTAAGAGTGTCTCTTTCGTTCGGACAACAATTGGCTAACCCTCGAGATTGCCCTCTAGAAGCACCGGCTCATTTTAAGAACCCAGTGAATTTCCCGCTGTGGGAGGCGCAGGTACAGGCAAATATTATATAATGGGCCAGGCTCTGCAACACGAAACCTGCACCCAGTTAAGGGAACGCCAACACCCACAGCCTGAGGCCATTGTCGCAGGTCCTTTGCCACAGTGCATACCTCTCCTTTGCCATTTCACACACAAGTTTTGATCACCCCCAGGCCAGGGATGAATGCTGTATTTCCAGTGTGTGAGCAACATTGTCATGCTCTGCTCTGACATGTTTCCAGGTATGAGATATCTACTGAATAAACATCTCTCGCTGTCACAATCACTCCATGTGTGAGTACTTCATATCACAGGTGTGCCACTAGCTTCTCATGTCGACTCACACTGACCATGAGCAGATTCAGTCCCTGTCTTCTCAGTGTATTACCCTCTGGCTTGTTGCCAACAATCAGCACTGGTCCTCTGTAGCCTCTCCTCTGCACCCCATCCTCTTACAAGAACCTTTCCTCTGGTGTATCCCACTGTATTTGGCCAAAGAGATATGCCCTCTATGAATGTATTCTGCATTCTCATCTCACATCGAATGTGACTATAACCTTCATCCACAGGTGCACATGATACCAGCCTATCTTCCTCCCTTCAATAACAGTGCATACCCTTCCCTCCCTCTTACTAGTTCTGACAAATTGGCAAGTTATGATATCCACATGACACTCTCTTCTCCATGGCCATTGTCAGCAGCACTCCACTCACACCTCTTGCTCTGCCCCCCAACTTTCCCTGTCCCTATCTTGTTTGTTCCTACACCCTGATTGCTTCACATCCTCGCCGCTTCAGATATACTGCTGCAGCATGCTCTGCAGATGGTTCATGTACATGTCTTCTTTGTCTCTGCCATGATCATCTCTTCAGTTCTGAGCCTTTTACCCTGACTGTTAGGGCAACACAGGCTGACTAAGTCTGCTCACCTAAGAGTGCCAAGAGTC